TTACTCCAGCTTATTGTTTGGTACAGACTAAAATAGAAACAAGACCTCTTCGCTCCCTTTGAGAAGAAATCAAAAGTAAAGTTCAAACAAGTTAGAAGTTTCTGTAGGAGTTGCCTCACCGCAGGAACGCTTCGAGGATAGTGAATGGCAGCAGAGATAAGGAGCTTTCGCTGGCCATTGATGATAAGAGAGCGATGATCGTATGTTACATTGCCAGCCAAAACCAATGAAAACGAAGAAGATAGAAGAAATAAAACGAAAGGCACAATGGATAGGAAGGATAGCTTCATCTTGCCCTCAATACAGCTTTGAGCTTTCAGAACGCTCTTGCCTTTCGCTCAGTCTGAAGCGCAAACTTATAACGAAGAAAGATGTCAGAGTGGGAAACAGAGTGGCAGCGCTAATGATTTATTTTATCCATATTTTTTTATACGAGTAATTTTTTAATGAGTAGTTTCCCGTCATTAGTTAAATAGTTAATACTCACAGATTTACACTGCTAGTTTTTATAAGCACATTTTATTTTTCGTAAACTGAGATAAAAAAATTTTATATATTTATCTTATATTTAGAAAATCATAATTAAAAAATTATTTATAAATTATTTTAAATTGGCCCATAATATATTTCTCAGATCCTTAATATAAGACCTATTTAACTAATTTGATTACATTAAGAAAGTTAACTAAGTTAGTTAATTATAAGAAATATGACATATTTTTCCTAAAATACCATAATCATCTTTTTTAATATCCTTCTTCCATGTCCTACTTAATTATGGTTGAAAAAGTATTAATAAAGATAATTTTAAAAAAATTAATAAATGTGATAAATAGATCTCATATTTACGATAAAGATCAACTCACCAATTAGGCCTTACATTAAAAACTAGAAAAATACTATTCTTAGTCATAAATATAAGATCTGGTTTGTAGCATAATTTACAGTACACATTAGTTTTTATATTTAGGACGGGAATGACTAGTTACATAGATTTTTTTTTGCCAAAGTTATTAATAATTAAAAAATTTCTTAATTTTTAATAAACTAGAAATAATATTTTTAAAATATTATATTATATATTAATTTATAAGTTATAAAAATTAGTTTAGAAAAATTAAGTATTTCAAGTTATATATTATTAAATAAATTAAGTTATATCAGTATGCAATACATCTCGTAATTAAAATTTATCATGCCACAAATGGCATTGTCATTTTCATTAAAAAAATAACTCCGGCAAAAAAAATTGAAAAATAACGATAGAAATTTGTTTTTATGAAGTCGGAATAATTAATATCCCGCTTTCCCACCTAATAAAGGTAAATTAATTAATTTTGTGTGTGTAGATGTCTCTCTCTATCTCTCAACGTCACCGACTGCTAAATTTTACTCCTATCTTATTTGTTTTTGGAGAAATCTTTAGGAACACATTTCGATGGGAAAGAAGATCAGCGTATGTGTTGTGGCCAGCGCGCAAATAGATTAATAATTATTCTGATCTGATCTGCTGGCAATATTTATATCCTGTCCTTTTCTTCTTCTTTTTTTCCGAATGGCACCTGATATCCTGGTCAACCCTGCAGGGACGGACCACCCCTTAGGTGAATCTAATTACAAACCAGACTAATCCGGATCGCACTGAGAACCTCCACTTAAAGGTAAAGTACTGGCCAAGGAGCAGGCTGCATTTCCAGAGCTCAAACTCGAGACCTCTGATTAAGCGGCGAAGTGAGGCTACCACTACGCCAACCACCACCGTTGGTTATATCCTGTCCTATTTATAGAACAATAAATATCCGAAAATATTTACATCCTCCAGCATCAATAATCATCTTGGCAAAAACAATAATAATCAATAATGTATCTATTGTGAGTAATGAACCTCAGTTAAACTCCATATAAATATTTGGACCAAAAAAAAAACTCCATATAAATATAAAGAAATCGTTAAAGAAAATATAACAGGAACTTTTAACAAGTCGTCAAGTTTTAAGTGGTAATGAATTTTAAAATATAATGATGGCTTAAAATATAAAAATAAATTATTTAGAATGTGGTTAGAAATTTATATATTTTGATGGGAATGTCCATCCAAATGGAACATTTTATGATTTTAACAAGAATTAATAAACACTTTACATCAGCTACAACAGTTAAATTCTTGTAAAGATTAATATCATTAATAGTCCTCATAGTTTGATCAAATTTTTATTTAGTTCCTATAATTTCATAAGGAGTTTGTTAGGACTTAAAACCTAAACTCTTTGTAGAGATTATTCGTTAAATTCAAACAAAAAATTACAAAAATATAGGGATCAAATCTACTTATTTGAAATTATATAGATCAAAACTAGAATTTGATCAAATAAATATTTTAATAAAAAATGAAATAATTAAAATTTCTCTCGTTTTCTTGTATTACTTCTGATTCTATTTATAAGATCTTATTTGTAAACTATAAACGAGGTCTTATAATTAGAATAGGAAGTAATATCATTAATATACTTAAAAGAGTGTGAAGATGACAAGTTGCATATGAGTAAGGTCAAAGCACAACAGTCAAGTTGGTGCTTTGACTCTATCGGCAGAGCTCAACAGTCAACACATATGCTATTGCCAGCGCTGAAGGCTCATCACTGGTCTACCTAATAATGGTGCCGATTTAAACGCATTACCAACTACTTTGTTTGACTCCTAAATGCATTTTTAAGCAAACTACAAACATGTTTTTAGCATAGATTAATTCAAAGTTAAAATATATATTTATAGAAATTTTTAATTTGGTATTTTAATTTTTTAAAAATTATATTTTGTCTTTTAACCTTAAAATTATTAATAAAAATTATGATATTGATAAAATACTGTCAAATGATAACATATTAAATTTAATTTTCAAAACAATCATAATTGTTAAAAAAAATTCATATAAATAAATAAACCTCATAAAATAATAGCGCTCTGTATAGTAGAGTTATGAAATGGGGTTTTTACTTTGTTCCTTTTATCATTTTACCTATATGTTACTTTTTCTTAGACCTATTTTATAGTATAAATTACATTATAAAATGAGTCTTATATTTAGGACCGGAAAGAGTACTATATTTACACATTATTCTTCTACATGGGTTTAAACTTGAATATGAACTTCTTGATTAAATAAATTTTGTTATATTGTCGTTTTAAGAATTCTCCGCGAATTGGATTTGTTGATGTTGAATATGCATTAATTTTAACAAGATTAAATTCTCAAAAGAGGCCAAACTGTGGAATAGTAGGCTTTGTTTAAATATCGGATATAACACTGAGCAATCAAAGGCTGATAATGAATTTTTATATATATTTTGCACGCTTTAAGAACCTATGAATACTTTATTGATATTAAGCTGAAAGTATGACTTAAAGCAAAAATGTTTTTTTTTTTTAACTAACTATGTGATGATTCAAGTTTTTATGGTACATAAAAGACTATTAATTCATATCAGTGTATTGCATAATACCGTACTAGTTATCCGAATTACGGAATTAGAGTAAACTTTCTTTTTTTGAAATTCTTTTAGTTATGAGATTGCGAGACTACAGTGAATGTGAGAATTATGATATGAAAAAAGCCTAATTAAATGTAGAATGATCTGAATTTTACCTTAGTATCTATCTATGTGGTGAATATGGTAGGCCCCGCAGAAGGAGCCCCAACCCCAAATTTGATCTGCGAAAACAAATTGCTTAAATCTTTATTGGATTGATCTTTCTTAGATCCTAGTATGACCTCCCTGCTTAAGAAAACGAATATCGATTATATATATTATGAGTGGATATGGAGTCCATTTATTTAAGAAAAACAATAATATAAATAAAACCGCAAGGCCAAGGGAAAGATGAACCGACACAGAGTGAAGACAAAGACAGCCATGATACAGCTCTCACCAGTGTCAGCGCGTTTCTCCGTGGGGTATTGCCTTTGGTGTCAAGCAACAAGCACTGGGAGACATAAGGCGTGACTTCATTCATTCATCTAATCCTGTAAAAATATAATTTATAAATTTACTAAAATGAAGGGTAAAATAGTAAGTAAAATTTGTTTTAATATAAATTTTAGTTAAAATAATGTTTTTAGATTCAGAATATTTCTAACGATGTTAACATATTGGATTAAACTGTATATTTTTAAAATAGAAGAAAGATCTATATAATTGATGCAAACTAGAAGAGTAATCAAAATATTTTACTCTAAATATAAACATATTTTAATAAAATTTAAAATTTAATTCATCATGTTATTAGGAATTAATTCTTTTAGCTAAACATATTATTATATATATAGGACAATACTTATATCAAATTCTTTTTATTTATTATGTCAAATTGTCTACTCACCCATGACCATGTGGTAATTTTTTAATATTAGTATTTAATAATATTTAATTATAAATTCATATAAAATTAAAAAAACATATGATTATGTGTAATTAGAGAATTTAACATATTTGTGCAGATGATGCTTCTACTTTTAATTGATATTTTTTATTTTTATTATTATCTCTCGCACGTCGCGCATGACACCAGAAAAAGGCCCTGCATTAAATTCCCGCGTAGTGCGACGTATCTCTGCTGTTTAAGAACCTGACCGCCATTTACCCTCCTGACGTGATCCCGGTCATCCCACGTTCTCCATTTGCATTGTTTTCTACTATATTATAACATACGGGAGGTACTTTGGATATCTATTTAATTATTAATAATAAAAAAAATGGATTTGATGTTCTCATATGATATAGTACATTGTTTTATACATTTTAGTATATAAAAAGAAAATATTTATATGACAATATTTGTAAAAGAAAGAAAAGAATATCAGGAAAAATAATTGCGGAATTTTTTTTTTTTTGGGGTAACAAATGATAGAGAGAGTTGAATTAACTGTTTGAAACAGAAGAATTTTGTTGGAAATGTGTGCCGATCGTGTGGATGCACAAATCGAAGAGTAAATATAATAGTGGTGGATGCAACAGAAGAATCCATGCCAGAATACTCAGTATTTTATTCGGAGTGAGTTAATAAATTATGCATTGTGTGTATGCCAGTCCCAATTACCCCCCCCCCAAAAAAAAAAAAGATTCTGTGTGTGCCCATGAGTGTATGTTTTGCTGTAACTCTCTGCTTAGAATTAACAAACTAAGTAGCAGAAGGAAAAGACAATTTGGGAAAATGTTCATGTAAAGTAGTCTTGACAGAAACAGTGTTCAAGGAGACACCAAGAGGATTCCCACCACCTTCTTCCATTACAACCAGAACGTTTCCGGATGCTTTCAGGAAGGACCGAGGCACATGATACCTGTCGTATCAATTATCGCAACACATGATAATTAATGTCCATATTTAATTAACATTAATTAAATATTGGACATAGTGTTTCTCACAGTGTTCTTCTTTTATAAGCGGAGTAGTAGAACAAAAGAAGCCAAGTACTCCCTTATTATAAGATCTAATTTTTTGAATAAGTCTGTTCCTTTCTATAAGATTCTTTTTGAGTTTGTCTGAATATTTAATGCATTATTACCTATTTTATCTCTAATTTAATGCATTAAATACATTCTCTTTTTTTTTATCTCACTATTACTCTTTCATATTTACTCATATATATATAGGAGTATATTTGAAAAAAAAAATTACATTTATTACGTATTAATTGTTTTTAACTAATTTTAACTGTTTTCTTAAAACACGATATTTAATTAAAAAGATCTTCTAATAAAGGAGGGAGGGAGTAAACCAGAATTAAATGTATGAATATACTAGTATAAAGTGAGAGGACGCAGCAACTCACAGTGCTTGAGAAGGGTTGCCATTGGTATCATGGAACAAGATCCAATAACGACCGATGCTTTCGCCGTTTACCCAGGCTTCACCTTTTCCCATGGAGCCAAGGTCCAAGGCAATCGGCTCATCTCCCTCAGGTGCCTCAAATGTAGTCTGCCAAAGGATATATCAATATATAAAAATGTTGAGCTACAATATCAGAAGTTGTAGTCCCTCGTATTTACAGTGGTAACAAAATAATGCACGATTATTTCTGTTTACAGTAGTACTTATGCACAGCTATTTACTGTAGCCCATGGTATTTGCAGCCGAAATAGTCAATCATAATTTGTGTCTTTTTGGTTGAAGAGATTAGTTATAAGACTAATGATTTAATGGGCGGCCAGGCCAAAGGTATTTACAGAATTACAGTAGTAATACACGGACACTGTTATATTATGAACAAATAGTGTAACTGTTATTGACCGACCACTATTATGAACAAATATATGAACTTTACAACATAAATTTTGGAGGTGATCTTTCACAGAAACAAAATGATACAGTTGCTAAGTCGTATTATTTTGACTATTGTGCGTATAATTTCTTGGATCGAAAAGCCTTATGTAAGTAGGCTTCAATATTTCATGTGAAATTTATGTCACATTGTCTTTCATAAATTATTATTGCCGTCGTTGTTGCGTGCAGCTGAGGAAAGAAAACAGACACTTGTCACTTTTCTATATGTTATCCCATTTTTTAAGGGAGGTAATCCGACTGTTCACCCCTACTCACGCTTTTTTTTTTTTTGGCCCGCGTACTCACGCATAAGTATGTTTTGTTTGGAAGTAAATTCTCCATTGCATGCTGTTGTTCCAAGTAAAACAATTTTAAATATTCAGATCATATTTTTAATATATTCAAAAAAATATAAGATGAAAATATTCAAGAGAACAATTTTCTTACGAATAATAAATGTTTTTATTTCATATTTTATGTTTAAAATAAAAAATTATTATATAAAAAAATTTAAACAAAAAGTAAATATTTTTTATACTATATTTTTTGGCCAAAATTTTTTATATTATATTAAGTCCATTTTTTCCACTATGTATAAGTATCTTTCTACTAGAAGTAATTCTATTCGAGGAGTTATAAGATACTCCTCCGGTCCTAATTATAAGACCCAATTGACTTATTTGAGGAGATTAAGGAAGTAAGTTAAGTTGGTTATTTATAATAAATAAGTGTTGTCATTCCTAAAATATCCTTGCTAATTAAGTATATTAGCTAAAACTATCATTATTAGAAGGATTATCTTGGAAAAAAATGCATAAATATAAGAGACAAAATGGATTGGGGTCTTATAATTAGGACCAAATAAAAAGTCAAATAGGGTTTTATAATAAGGACCGGAGGAGTACTAAATATGAGTACTTTTCTAATAAAAATTTAATCTTTAATTTGTTATATTGTGAAGAATTAATCCGTTCCATTAAATACAATCCTATTAGTTGTACAAAATCTTTTAATCCACCAGAAAAGACCACTTTCGTTTCATGTCTACTCCACTGCATACACTTCCCACATTCCCAAAATTTAAAAAACTCAAAAGCCCAGGGCCCCCCGGCTCCCAAAAGCAAAAGGAAAAAGGATAAGAGCCCATATGAAATATCTCTCCCTCTTCAATAATTCCGGGAAATACTCAGCAAATTTTTTTTTTTGGTGAATGATACGGGGCAAAGTCCAACTCTTATTCGGTCACTATAAACCGTGGGTATTGCTTTAATTTTACTGAAATTCTTTTTCCAGTTCATTTAATTTTCTACCTTAATAAACCCATCTTATTCATTTTATTACAGTTAAACAAAATGGTGCCAATTGATCATAACTTCATGCAGGCATAATAATGTACCTTGTACCAAGTGAGCATTTGATTATTGATATCTCCAAGTTGACTCCATTGTACTTCATTACCGCTATTTTGTTCTTTGTAAACTTGTAGTTGCTCTCCCACTAATCCAACCTATGTCAGAAAAGGAAATTATTCTGCACTGCATAGCATAGGTTAAAGTAGAGTTGTAAAATAGAACTGTGAAAGAAGACAACCTGGTATCCCCATGTAGAATTGGTAAGATCATAAGACTCTTCTTCGCTACATTGAATCTGAACGCTGGTTAAGCCAGCAAATCTCCTTTCAAGAAATGCCCCTGAATCCTTTTCATATAGAACATTAATCCATCAACCTCAAACTTGTTTATGAGACTTCAATTTTTGTGGTTATGAAGGGGAAAGAAAGAACAATTAATTCATTTAAATCATTTCCTTACAAAAGGCATTACCGGTAATCCAACCATAGCACTGAGTATGGAAATGTTGTTTGGCCCTTCGCTTAGTGTCACTGGGAGTTCCAAGGTAAATGACTTTACATCATGATTTCCATGTGCCCCTCCTGACAGAGTTAGGATGGACAAGAAAAAACTTCAATCCTGAAGAAAAATTAACTTTACAAATATGTATGGCGATATATTAAAAAGGGTTCGTAATGAGTTACATGCAAGAGACTTGAACTTAAAATTTCTAGTTAACCATTCACATCTACTGACTTAAACAATATTTGTTTATATTTACCTACACAAGTGTCGTTCGCAAAAACGTGGGCAACATGTGCAGCGGATTGAATGTTAAGTGTTGGTTCATTGCAAGATAAATTATTTTCAAACCTGTTCATGAAAAATGGTTATTATATGACATGTTAGATATAGCATAATAAATGATCATCATGTGTGTTAGAAGAGAAGACAGGTACCTAAGAGTATACCAAAGATAATCAGATTTATCTTTGGTTGTATTCATATGCTCAAGTAGTGAGTTTGATTTAAATGAAGTGTCGTCAAAGTTCGGGACTCCTTCTTGAAATTGCTCCCACATATCGGCTGAGCTGAAATTCTGTGCAGGAGTCACGATTCTTCTGTTGCTCTCTGCATTTACCTATATACAAGAATATGGAATACTATTAAATTTAACAAAATAAAAAACATGAACTGTTTGAAATAAAATGTTTTAAAAGGTGGTTAACTAATAACACCCTTTGATCAAAACAATTCTGTTACTTACATTTGCAGTATTGAAAGTCACTTTTTCACAGTCTGGTAAGATGCTTATGGACTTCGGGAGCAATTCGTATGATCTATTGCGGAATTGGACGGTAACATTATTCTCTTTGTCGTTGTTTATTAGGAATGCGACACATCCTCCTTTCTCTTCTTCGAAAACATAACCCTGAATTTAAAGAGAAAAAATAACTTGGATATCGGGATGCTTATTTAATGAGTGAAAATTTGTTAACACACTGTGGGAAAGGAAATGAGAGTCCACCTCTTGCATTTGTCCTAACGAGAAATTCTTCTGCACTCCCTGCAATAAGGTTGAAGAACAAGACTTGATAGCAGCATGCAAATCCTTAAGATGTCCCCATTTGGGTTGCCTTAGCAGACCTTAAAAAACAAAGAAAGAAAGAATAAAAAGAAAAGAAAGTAGAACTGTTATATTACTCTGATCAAATAATTAATGTAATGGAAGAAGAGAACTTACAGGTATTTATAATGTACGAGCCGACTATACAATTAGCAATGAAAATTCACTAAAATTGTACAATAATTGCTTACCATATTCATCCAGGGGAGCTTGATCATAATAGGCTGTTATAACATAAGCAGAGCCCGTTCTCCCCAAGTTAGTTCCACCATGATACTATCGTCAGTTCAAAGAAATGAATCTTCAGACTGAAAGAGGACTTTATTAAAGTGAACGATTGTTTGAAAAGGGAGTATAGGTACCATATAGTAGTTGACATAGCTTCCATTTCTTGCAATGAAAAGAGTGACATGGAATGCAATGTCTTCTGCAGACCTTATGTATGGCAATCCACCATAAACTTGATAGCTGGGAACAAAAATAAAAAAATAAAAAATAAAAAAAAAGGTATAACACAGAACAAATGAGGGGGCACTAAAAGTATAATGTCTTTTGAGAAATAATTTCATAACATGTCATTTTTTAGTTTAAATTAGCTGAAGGTGTGAAACGAATATGAAAATTTGATGATGAAACTCACAAAGATGTCCAGTTCTCTGTCCACAACGAGGGCTTATTGGGCGAGTTCGGCCCTGTAAAAGTTTCTCCACATCTCATTCCGTTGCATGTATTAATCTGCATAAACATTGGATATTTTTCTTTCTTTTTTCAATTAAACTTTGGCCATAATAAATTATTGAAAATAACTCCTGGGCGTGAAAATTATTCGGTTAAAAGAATTGGGCTTACCACAGGATCAGGAGCATCTGTTTGCTTGCACATAACCCATGGTACACCAGTTTGGAGGCCCACTGCCATTTGCGCAGCCCATTTAACATATCGGGATGCTGCTGGACCAAACGCTTTTTGGATGTTTTGATATTCATTCTCAATCTGAATTTTTATAATTGTTTTCAGCAACTGAATATATTTACCATATTGAGAAATAAACAAAGGTCCCAAAAAAAAAAGTAATAAACATATAAATGTCACTCATTTTTTGGTTGTGTTCGCACCTGTGACAGTATGATGGGGCCTCCTTGCGGGGCATATAAACCCTCTGATTTCATCGTGTCCACTATTTTTGTCGTGAAATTTTGCATGTAAAACTAAACATATGAATACACAAATTGAAAAAAAAAAAGTTGAAATGCATGAACAACTTGACGAAAATTTAAACAGAAAAGTCAAATCAGATCAAATTCGCCGGCCTCCTACGTTACTAAAAATTAAGAAGAGACCGTGAAAAGGGACCATCGCCATGCGTACCTTGAAAGGCTCATTATCCGTTCGGAAGACTATCCCCGGGACATCATGTAACCAAAAGGGGAATCCTCTGCAACTTTACTACTATTACTTTCCATAATGAAAAAGAAAGGTGAAATTTCATCTGCTTACTAAATTAAATATAAAGAAATCGTATTGTTCGGTGCGACAATGTTAAGTTAATGTTTAGCTGTTGTTTTGTTTTGTCATTTTACTTTATTTAGGATTTTCACAAGGTTATTTTAATTTTAATTCTTTTTTATTTTACTTTTTGGTTAAAAACTTGTTGTTACAGTAATCTTATATGTCATTCTAACACGTGAAATGTGTTAACAAAAAATAAGAAAATGAAAATTATTTTATGTCAAGTGATTTTCATGATTGGTTAGAATTATACATATTTAAAATGTTAGAATAATATATTCATATAGGAGTTTCAATGTTTAATCAAGAAACAAAAGCTAACGTAAATTACACTGATAACAGTTTGAATAATTAAAATTCTAAAAATTTAAAAAAACAATCTGCCCTACTCTTTTAAAACATATTTGAATACTAAATTTGTCTATTTTTAAAATTTCACACATGTACTTTAAAAATAAGCAGCAGTTCCCTAATTTCTCTACAGCAAAAAAATTTAGTTGCATTTGTTTCCCGAAAATAACATGATATTGACCACTCATCTAATACATTGAATGTTTATATATATAATTTCAAGAACTATATGCTCTAATAAATTATATAATATATATTCTTAGCTAAATTTGAAATTATTGCGTATGTTTTCATAACCAGAAGGAGGAAGGTGCGTGTATTAAAAAATACGTAGCAATTAGAGCTAAAGTCTAGTAATTGAATTGTTTCTTTCTTTCTTTCTTTGTTCGGCCATCGCCCGTAATTGAACTCCGTTTATAAAAATAAAGGTGGAGAAAAGGAAACGAGAAGTACCCATAGGTCCATTCGCTCTCAATGAAAGGTCCAATCCTAAGGGTAATGTAGAGACCTTGTGCTTGGACTTCCTTAACGAACCTCACCAAATCATATCTGCCGCTGAAATCATACTGTGCCATGTATTTTTAGTTGCAGAAACAGACATGCCATCTTAATTTTACAGTCGAGAGACGATGAGGGAGAGAGCACTGACCTGACCAGGTTGTGGCTCATGGACGTTCCAAAACACATAGGTCTGAATCACATCTATTCCTCCTTCTTTGGCCTTCGCTATCAATGATGGCCACATCTGCATCAAATTCAAGCTTCTATGGTTATGAATTGGTTATCGTCCCGTACTCCTTTGCTTTCTTCCTATTGTTTTTGTACTTTTTCGCTCTAAGCAATTCATGTGTAACACTTTAAGTTCACTCGTGACAACTGACCAACATTAATTTGCTCATTCCAATCAATCCTTTGTTTTATTCTCCGCACAAGCATCCGCAATGATGATTCCAAAATGGTTGGAGCCAAAACTTTTCAATTATCTATTTTACCCGTGATGCGATATGAAAATATACTACAGCTGTAAATGCCTCGAGAGGAGTTTGCGTTATTCTGGCCAGGGGACAGCTCCGTGAGTTCTGTTAAATTTGTAGCTTGAGTTTCCCAATAATTATTTTCTCGGAAAGTCCATCCCAATTTGGAGCAAAATTTTGGTTTTATAATCAGCCCAAAATATTCACACACCTCCAATGTATCATAGAAGATCACGCATGAATATAGAGTATGCCAAATTTTTTGTAAATAATTTTTCTTTTTCCAATAGGAATTGTACCGAGGGATTAGAGCTTTGCTATAGACCCTACCACACAACAGTGAAGCTTTTTTGAAGCGAAAATCAGGACACGAGGATGGAGTGAGCGCTTGCTTCGAGGGGACCTCACCTACCAAGAGAGACTAATGATGAAAATTGAAACTAAAAGGCCATGAGCTCCTCTGCTTCATACCTTTCCCCTGTTCTAATGCCAACTACTGAACACATTAAATTCAGAAATCGCAAGATGCGCGCAAACTAGTTGAATGAATCCAATGAAACTTTGGCCAAAAAAAAAATCTAATGAAACGAATCCATGAGAACTTAATCCTAATAACAGAAATTACAAACTCATCGGAAGGCGCATTGATTAGTTCGAGCGACGAATGAAGACGAAAGAAGAAGAATGAATTGAGTAAATCGGTACCTGCGGAGTGCTGCGAGGATAGTGAATGGAGCCTGAGAAGAGGATCTTCCTCTGGCCATCGATGAGCAGAGATCTTCCGTCGTAGGTGACGTCGGAAACTTCGGCGTCAACTATGATCACCAAAGCCAACAAACTCCACCGGCACCACCACTTGCTCTCCATGACTCTCTGTGGCGCGCTAACCCAAGCACCAAGTATGCTTACAGCAGAATGTTATTTAAACAGAAAGTTAAGAAAGAGACACGTGAGAGACGCAAAAGTGGGTGAGGTGACCTGAAACGTTATTTATTTATTTTGCGAAAGGGTGCTTTTCCCTGTGCCTCCCCCCGTTGTCGTACATAAAAGCCATACTTCTCCGTTTTTTTTAAAATTAAAGGGCGGCACTAATAGCATGATTGTAGGCCAAAAAAAAAAAAGAAACTATAAGGAAGTGAATTCGCCTCTCATTTATATAAAAAAATTTACATAACTAAAGTATAAGAATATTGATATACTTTCTGTGTTTTAATACCCAAAACTATTGATATGTATATACTCTCTAATCCTTAATATATAAAAAATTTTAAATAATTTTTACATATGAAAAATGACAGTTAAATTATTAAGTTTGTCTTGATTAATTTTGAGCTTCAATTAATAACAGAGTAAAAGGAAAAAAAAATTAATGAAACTATTAGCAACTTGTATTTGGAATCAAAAACTGCTTGTAAAAAATGTCTTGTAATTAGAATCAATGAAGTACTCTCTAATTTCATACAAACCTTATGGTTATTTGTTTTGATGATTTCACCTATTATATTTATTTTTAATGAAAAACTTGTAATTAAAAAGTAGGTTTTTTAACTTTTTGCCATGCCAAAAAGTAGTAGCATTACTTATTGGTTAAAATAGTCCATTAAATGTTGGGTTTGGATTTGGTCAGCGTCTCAATTCCGGGCAGGGAGCGGGTGGCGCTACGTGGTAGAATTATATCCGTGAGATTTGATCAATGGAGCATAATTGATTTGAAGTGTAGGGAACTAATGAAACAGTGAGCCAGGTGGTGTTATACGGGGACAAATCTCGTCCCTCCTTTTGAAGCAATGTCAACCGTCGAATGAAGGGAAATTTCCCTCCAGAAATTTCAATACTTCTTCGTCATCCCGCATTGGGAGGGTTTTGCCTCCCAACTTCCCATTTGGAGGTTGAATATATTCCGCTTCAAATAAGTGTATATGGGTTTAGCTGTTAAAACGTGACTTTCTCAAAAAAAAAAAAAAACAAAGAAAATTATATAACTAAGTGTTGTCGATTTATGAGTGACGTGTCAAAAGAAAGAGTTTCACATCGTCTCCAATAATATTGGGAGTTTTAGAGTGAATATATTGCTTAGTGACCTTCGAAACATTATTAAAATGCAACAATTTCTCCATACACGTAAGTGAAACATTTTTGCAAAAATGCAAATAATTTGTATAAAAAGATCTTACTAAGGAAATTAGCATTGGCGATTTGAATACTAAAACACTTTATTTTTGTTATAAACGAATGTGAATACTGTAAATTGCTTATACTTCATATTATAACCCTTCTTACTGCATGTATATTAATATGTTTTTACTTATTAAAGAAGAAAGACAAAGTGATTGAGGAAGAAGTCTATTTTGGGGCAGCATTGTTTTGGACGCTACGATGGCGTGCCTGAAGTTACAAGCCTATCTCAACCTCACTTCACTGAAAATATGTGAGGCGACACATCTATCCGTTTGGCTGTGGGTCTTTTTTCATCCTCCGTCCCGCCCTTTGGGTCCTTATTCCGGGATAAGGATACCATAAACCTGGCGTGAATTAGATAGGGTGTTTGGATGAATAGCAAATCATGATTTTAAAAATGATTTTACGACATATGAAGTAAATATATGAAGAAGTTTATTTTGATTTTATGAAAAAATACTTTTTAAAAATATTTTCTTAGTTACCCAAACACCTCCTAATTAATTATGGTCTCTATTCTAAGTTAGCTTCACGCATCCACCAACCCCAAACAAGAACTTATCCGCTCACACACACAAATTCGGCGCTACAAAACCATCTCATTGTTCTAGCATGCGGCTTCAATGCGTAACTAATTTGATTATGACCCAATAGTCCCAACACCGTTTTCAACGCTTCTATTGCTCATAAAATGAGTCATTTTTAAATTTATCCTTTAGTTGGATAGAGGAAAAAATAGGAATACAAAGAATACTATGTAGAAAGCTCTCTAGAATAATAAGTTTTTTTAAAAAACTATTTTTGAAAGCCTTCCTTCTTAGTATTTCCTTCCCTTACTTTCCTCTCAATTTTCCTTCAATCCAAACATATCCTTGAACCCCAGCCTAAAATTCCACCAAGGAAGGTCATAGACTCACAGACACACGGGGTAAGTTTTATTTTTCGGCTAGAGAGTAATTTAAATTTAAGCGTATAAAAAAATTAAGTGTGTTATAAATATTACTCCTCCAGTCCTTAATATAGGACCTAATTATTAAGTTAATTTTTATCCTAAATATAAGACATATTTCTCATATTTATCAATTTTTCTTAAATTACCCTTATGGATACTCCCTCAATCATAATCAAGTAGAAAAGAGAGGAAGAATATTAAGAAAAATGATTATGGTATTTTGAGAAAAACATATCATATTTTTTATAATTAACTAACTTATCTAACTTCATTAATCTAATCAAATTAATTAAATAGGTCTTATATTAAGAACCGAAAGAATATCATATTTTGTGAATATATTCATGACTTCCCAACATTTAAAGAACATAATTACTACTTGCATGAACCATTCCATCTAAAATCCTCCCATGTTCATGAAACAAGTTATTATCTACTACTCCTCCGGTTCTTAATATAAGACCCATTTAACTAATTTGATTAGATTAAGAAAGATAGGTAAGTTAGTTAATTATAAGAAAAGTGACACATTTTTCCAAAAATACCATAATCATCTTTTTTTAATACACATCTCCTTCTTCCACTTGATTATGGTTGAGTAAGTATTTATAGGAGTAATTTAGAGAAAACTGATAAATATGATAAATGGGTCTTATATTTAAGACCAAAACCAACTTAAGAATTGAGTCCCATATTAAGGATTGAAGGAGTATCTCATTAATATAAAAGTTAGTTGAAGATTCTATTTAGTCCTAAATATAAAAATTCAATCTATTTTGTCTCTTATATTTATCTATTTTGTCCCTAGGTAATATCTATAATGACTGCTTATATTAAGGAGTCTCCATTAAGAGATAGTTTCAATACACATGATTAATAATGGTATTTTAAAGAAAACAACATTTATTTATTAAAATAATTGACTCAAGTAATTTTCTTAATACTTGTAATTTAGTTATTCAGTTTTACATCAAGAACAGAAGTAGTATGGAATTTGCACATGTACTAAATATATCAAGACTCATTGGCTTTGGGAAATGTACTTTATAATGTTAGCATTCATCCAGTGTAATTTATGTATAATAATTGGAGGTTTATAAATAAAAATTCACGTCAAAATTTTGTTGTGAGAATAGCTCTGCCCCTTTTTCTCTCTAAACCTTTTTTCTGTCTGCTATCAAATTGTTTATGTTTCTATTAGTTTTACAACAAGGTGTATTTTTCAAATAATAATTGATTAAAATGTCGGTAAAATGTTTTTTTTTTAACAACTATCATGGGATCGTACCTTTTTTTTTAACAGGGAAAAGTAATCTCCAAATCCTTATACTTTACATCAATTTTAAATTAAGTCCCCATAGTTTGATTTTGTTAGAATTGAGCCTTTACATTTTACTCTATTAAACTTGTTACTCCTTGGACTTTTAACCTCATTAAAATTAACCGAATTGACTAACCCGTTGATGAGTTGGCAGCTAACTGTGCACACATATAGATACTTATTTTTTATCTTTTCTGGATGCTATCCTCGTCGAATACCAAAGGGCGAGACTCAACATCAATGATTTAAGAAACAAATCATAGACCTATATTGACCTCATCAAGCACCAAATTCATTGGATACCTACTTTTAAGCATTCAAGCATCAACTATTCAAGAAATTATATCACCTCCCATAAACAATTAGAGACCAAAGCCCCAAATCGACTAAACCAATGACCCGGATCATCCTCTCCCATGGCTTCGGCATCGACAAACCCCCCCTTACTTCATTCGTCGCTACAACCGTTCTCTACAACCTCATCTATGTCGACAGTGTCAACCCTTAGCACTTTGATTTTCACTGCCACCACTGTTTTCGATTTTACCAAATTCATCCTCACCGATGCTTCTCCTAGGTGGAATGGATCTCATTTTTAGTTTTTTACTCTCAATCTTAGCTAAAATATTTCACTTCATTTTTTTCCTAGAAGGGATAAAAAGAACGTTGAAATTTTCACTAAATTCAAACAATAGCTTTTGGGCTTTTTCATTATGATGCATTAGATACAATGATCGTCTCTTTCATTCTTTTTTTGGCCAACTTTTTAATTTTTATTCTGCATAAATGAGAGACAAGTCATTGCTTGCCAACATGGACAAGAATACCTACTTGTGTGCACAGTCAGTCACCAAGTAGTCGATATGTCAGCCACTTCAATTAATTTTAATGGCGTTAAAGGTCCAAGGAGTAATGAGTTTAACAGAGTAAAATATAAGGACCCAATTCAAACAAATCAAACTAAAAGGACCTAATTCAAAATTGTTGTAAAGTAAAGGGACTTAGAGATTAGTTTTCCCAAATCAAAACATACGAAAAAAATCAATTTCCTTAAAAAAAAAAAAAAAGAACCTAACTCTAGTTGGTTATTAGGCATTTTAAAATAATAAACATACATATTCGAACATGAATTTGAACAAGAAATCAAGTCCATGTCTTCCAGACACAACCAACCAACCAGTTCAAAAAAAAAATGTAAACCGAAGGATTTAGTGGGACAAAACTTCACTCACAAACTTATTATTTTGTATTATGTAAAAACATTAATTTTAAAGAATCCTATTATCGTCATTCTAAATAAGTACTAAAGTGGGTAAAAACTGTAGATATGATCTGCATGCATTGATTAATAAATATTTTGATAAAAACATAATAAATCATGACTTGATTGAATTTTAAATATGTTTATTTTTATTATAGACGGTGATAATCGATATTGAG